AAACGAGGTATACTAGTAAACTAATCAGTCAATGTATTTTTTTCGTCGTACGAGATTTAGATCCTCATTAGCTATAAACAGTCATATAGGTTTTTCCTCCTTTCTTTCCTGTATTCTAAATTAAAATTCTTCATTACGTTAGTTATTTAAATAGCTAATTTTTAGTAATTTTACTTACAACTGTTGTAAATATTGTGTAATACAAGGAAATAAAATTAAGAAATAACTGTAGTACCCCATTAACTTTCTTACTGAGAATCGAATATTTCGTATACTTCATTTCTCCTACGACGCGATTTTTGATTCAGGGTACAGACCTAGGATCCGTACAGAATGGGAATGGTCGCAAATTCGTTGCAGCGGCCAAGGCTAACTTTGTTTGAGAATCCGTCGCGTATATTTCGGAGAATTTAAATCCTGGGCTTCGGGTGTCGTATTCGGGTGGGTTTCCGGCCGACAGTTACACGAATTTTCCTTGAAACCTAAGAATCTTGAGATCACGCCCATGAGTAGAAAACGAGCAGCGGGTTTCGGCCTGTCTCAATGAAAAATTCTTATTGTTGTATTCTTCGCGCCGACTTGAGGTCGCCCGCTATCCCGATTAACTCGGCGCGATTATAGCGACGAGGATTTTGAAAATATAATATGGTAACTCGGAGGGCAGATTTTAATTACAAGCTGCCCTGTCAAAGAAGTGGGGCGAGGGACTGTGTGCCACGACCGCGAGTTCGACATTCATGAAGTCAATTGCTCGGCAGTCTCAGATCGGAAAGATTGGGACCGTGGGCCGCGACCACGAGTTCAATATTTCTCAGAAGTCATTTGCTCGACAACCTCGGATAGAGAAGGATGGGTCCACGATATTTTCAGTCAGTCATACAAACCTCTGTAACACTCGGCGTTCGGAAAACTCTTTTCTTGAGGACTATATCGTTGAAATATATTTAGTTGAAATATTCGCTCATTGGAATATTGAATCGCTGGGATATTTCACGCTTGAGATCGCGCTTAAGGTCGCGTTTGAGATCGCGTTTGAGATCGCGCTTATAATAACCTAATTAATTCGGCGCGGCTATGATACGTCACCAGGATATTGAAAACATAATACGGTATCTCGAAGGGCAGAATTTGATGCACACAAAGCATAATCTATTTAATTTAATAGCGATTGAATTTTTTTTAAATTGAAAAAAAATGAATTTTAATTTAATAGCGATTGAATTTGATCGATTTTCTTGGTATTGTTACAGATCTGGAGACGACGTGGATGGCTGAGATCGAGATGCAACGCGGCGGGCTTCGTGAAGGAGGAAGGAATGTAAGTATAATTTTCATCAATATGCAAATTACATGCAATAGTTTGTAGAAATGAGTAATTTCATGTACGATGTTGGACGTATTTTAATATCTTTGTGCTTTTCTTCCTGTTCCAGGACTCTAACGCAGCTCCCTCCTCCCATCAAATAGTGAGTGAACATTCAGAATACTATTTCTTTTTTAATTACATAGAAAATGTAGAAATTTTTGACGAGTACAGTGACCAAAGGATTGCCTGGCAATCCTTTGAGTGGTAATCTGTTTCCTAATTAGGTAGGGTTTCTTTTGCATGTCGCGATTTCTTACAATTGTTTCAGGTTCTAATGATTTTATTTCGGAACTGCTAAGAAATTAATCTTTTACAATATTATCATAATACGAATGTTAGAAAAATTATGTTGGTGGACTTGCTGCAAACATGCTGTGAAACATGGCTGGGAAAAAATAGATCTTTTAAATAGTAAATAGACTATAAACAATTTTATCTTCTCATGTAATACAGATTTTGGCAAATAAACTTTTTTGAAATAGTAGTTACACGTATGAAAATAAATATATTTGAATATATATTTAAATATATAATAATTTTTAATATTATTATATTATAATTATTATATATTATAATATTATTATATTATATTATAATTTTTAATAATAATTTAAATATATAAATATATAATAATATCCATAAGTAAATAATATTTCAAGAAAAGTTAACTTGCCAAATTCGATATTACATGAGAAGATAAAAATATTTATAGTCTATTTGTCTATTTACTATTCCGAAAATTTATTTCTCCTCAGTCCTGCTATGAAGTAAACGGTTTAAATCCGAATAACGTTCCAAGCTGAGGAACAATGTGAGAGATAATAAATAACGCTTTAATAACTAACCACATGTTAATCTTTACTTCGCAAATGATTTTGATATTTATAAAATAAAATTCTGTTATTATGGATATGATATTAGTTGTGCAATCTTTTCTGAATATTCAGGTACAAACTTCGCCTCGATGATTCGACGAGCAGGGAAGTCTCGAATTTTACCAGATAGTATCGATTGGGTTGTTCCAAATGTAATTTTGTTTTTCTAAATGGATAACTTACAAAAAAACCTAAATTACTTTTGCGACAACTCAATATTACAGACTTTGAATCCGCGCAAACATTGCATGCAATGCTTTTTTTTGCAGTGCTAGGACTGCAACGTTTATAAAATTAACGTTGTAAATACTCATCTGCGAGACAAAACTATTGCTCTATCTGTACCATTACAAATTTTCTAATTAGTAAATACAATTGCTCCATAAAAATAATTACACCTTATATCATATTTCTGTAGTACATGTTTCATAAATACTATTTCTACTATTTAAATGTGCGTGCCGCATGCATCCAAGTAACATATATTCAGCACTCGTAGTAGAAATGAAATATACAGCATATTCGCTTCTTGCTAACGTGCCTATTTTTCGTGAACTATCGGTAACGCTGAGTGCGACACAAAATGGTAAGGAGGATCCAGATGCAATATCTGTAGCGATCTAAAGCCTGTGTTCAGAGACAACAAATTCATACGGCACATATGTTTAAACTTAAACGATAAAAATGGTATTCCATAAAATACAATATCATAGAAATTTGCTACAGAAGTACACGTTCAATTAATTATGTTTATTAATTATATCATTAAAAATAAAGCATGTATTGCTTTTCCTCTTGTTTCAAATGAATCTTTGTACATTCTCAGAATTTAAAAACTTGCCTCCAAATCATATTATATGTGCCATAACGGAAATGAGGTATAGAAAATACTCGATTCGTACTAAGAAACTCAAATTTGTGACATGCTGGTAACGAAGAGCGCGATTACGAAATTAGTTGCAAAAATATTCCACATACAAATTTATTTTCTAGAAAATAATGTATTATTATTAAATATATGTGTATTTAAAATCTATAGTACAATAATCGATATTATTTCCACAATGGTCGATTTATAAATGTCTCTGTCAGATTTTACTAGATAAGCAACGGACTAATAATTTCTTACAAATTTCATAGGTACACGATATTTTTTATTTCAGAATGTTTTGATTTCGGTATTCTATACATATCTCGAACTTTAAGTAACAACGGAGCTGTTAATACTACGAAAAAAATCGATGCTCTCAATCTTGAAAGAGTTTATAATGATTCGAGCGACAACCATATTCATACTAATTAAGATGCAATTCAATCTTTTGCCCTGAAATTCTCGGAACGGCTGGAATCATACACACTAGCAAGGCACTTCCCTTCTTATAATTTTGTTAAACCAAACAAAACTTTTATAATGTTAATTTTGCTCAAACAACCTAATCTATACGCTTAAAAATCCATTCAATAAAGTCGTGTTCTTGATAAGAAAAAGTCTCTAAAAAATTGCCTTATACGAAAGAAGAAAGAAGGAAGGAAAAAGCGGAAAATAGAAGGAGGAAAGAAGAGGGGAAAAAGAAAAAGAAAATAAGAAAAATGAGGAAAGTGAAAGGAAGTAAGGAGAATAAAGAAAGAAGAAGTAAGAAGAATGAAGAAAGAAGAAAAGAGAAGGAAATAAGAAGAAAACAGAGGGACGAAATAAGAGAGATGAAAGAAGATAGCGAAACAAAGAAAATGGAAAACGAACGAGGAAAGTGATGCAAAAACAGATTAAATACGAACCGGCATTATGAGAAAGGGATGTTGGTGCTCCGTGGGCTGCTGGTGGTTGAATCGTTGGGACTTGGCCGATCTGCATCGCGTGGCTCTGCAACGAACTGAAGTGTCCAGAAATTGATACTGCTTGACCTGGAAGAACGCTGCTGATCGTGGCCGGTACTGGGATGATGGACGTACTACTGGTGGGTATTTGTGAGGTTGTTCCTGGGATTTGGTGTGCACCGGTGACGTTCGACTGTTGCAGTGTTGACGGGCTGTGGTGCAACGAAGTTGCCACTTGCGGTATACCAGTTGACATCTGAGGTACTTGCGGTAGCTGTGCCAGTTCATGACTGGCTGCATACTGACAAGTACTCAAGGGTAAACTGGCTACCGAATGAGCTATGCTACCAGCATGCTTCCGCAGCCGTGCTCGACGATTGCTAAACCATACCTGAAACACAAAGAACGGTTTCTGCATTTTTTATCAAGATCAATTTCATGTTCCACAATTATGAAACCTATTTGGATTCCAATAATGCTTGAAGAGGACGATTTTCACGATTATAATAGTTGATTCTGCACTAGAAATGTCCAATCTTTTAGCTTTTCTGAGCCACATTGGAAGAAGACGAGTTATTTTGGACCATACAAAATATGCCAAACACTGATGATGAGCAAAAATGAAAACGTAAAATATAGGTAATTTTACCTATATTGACTTTAATATATTTAAGAAATTTAAACTTCATTAATTTATGATTTTTTTTATTATTAACGTTATTTATTTTATTATTTATTTTATTATTAGTAACATGGATCATCAATCATTGCTTCATACATTTTATTTGACATTTTGTATATAAAATTTCATTGTAAATTTCATTTACAATTATAAAGGTAACACTAGAAATCATAAAATTAATGTGATATTTGGTATTGAATTTGGGGAAACTAATGCATCAATATCTAGTTCGATTGATACTTGCTTTGAGCCGCAGATTGGACATCCATGTTCTACACTCTACACCCTCGGTTTGATTAATGTGGAAAGCAGCTTGGCTTTTTTTGGCAAAATTTACCTTGACCTTGGAAATCCAAGGTAAACAAATTTTTAAAGACAGTGTTATTGGAGGATCAACTTCGCAAAATTCGCATGTACTTAAATTTCTGTACATAAATAACGTAATTTAAGTAAAAAATTGAATTTTATGCTGATATGTATATACACAAAGAGAATTCTTCTTAAGACGTTAACGATTTAAGAGAAAATCCCTGTTTATATAAACATATTTTATGTTATGCTTTTGCTAAACATATCAATTAGTATTTTAATACACCGTTGTTGTAAAGTCGGAAAGAGAGTTTTGCACATTCAAACTTGTTTTCCCCAAAATTGATTTTTATAGAATTTTTAACCTAAAAATATCATCGTTGTTTTTAACAACTTGAGATATATAAGATGGGAAATATAACTTGGGAAAGATAAGATCACATTTTACGAAATTTTGAGGACATAGCGGTTTTTTTTTAGATAAGGATGGCATATCAATATTATGATTGGCATAAATCTATAGCTATAATCGGATAAACAAATGCAATCTTATACAATATGTTGATATTCAGTGAAATGAGTATTTTTTGTTTTAAAATTCATGAAGAAGGTATGATGACACCACATTCTACCGAATTTCTGGATACCACAACTCCAAAACTATAACGGATGACGATTGCATGTTCTATTAGAAGGTAAATTTTCAAACGGTATCGATTTAGATATACTCACTTGTATCCTAGCTTCCGTAAGACCAGTCCTCTGGGCTAATTCTTCTCTCGCATAAACGTCAGGATATTGCGCCCGTTGAAACGCAGTTTCTAGTTGCTCTAGTTGTTCTCCGGTGAACGTAGTCCTGCTTCTACGTTGCTTTCGCTTCAGAGGAATACCCGGTTCACTTTCAGTGTCCGATTCGTCGCCGCAACGACCTGTAAGTCATCCAGTCATCGTGTTACACTGCACAAAAATGATGTTTGCTAAGTAATTAATTTTTCTGGCAATTATTGCAAAAGCTTCTTTTGCAGCGTTCTTTATCCGATCCGCACTGCGGATTTTGTGCGTTCATTGGAAATTAGTAGAGAGTAGACGAAAGATTTAAAGGATTTAAACGTCAATTTATCATTTTTAAGAATTTAAACGTCAATGTATTATTTTTAACCTCTTCAGGTTATCGAAGAAACTGATTTATGACAATCACAATTTAAAAATCTCTAACAAACATTCTATGCGTAACTTAGAAAAATTCAGTGATACTTTGCTATATATTTTAGATAATCCTGAAAAAAATCATGTACGAAGCAAATTTGTTAGCGATTAATCGTAAATTCATTATATGCTAAATCATTTTTATTGTATTTTGTTAGACCATATAATCAAATTAAAGTATGAAAAGCTCATTGTTTTACCCAATTTTAAGACAACAATGTTTCTAAATCATTGTCTGAAATCGATTCGATCAAATCGTA